AATATTGTTGATTTTGAAGAGAATACAAGGAGATTTTGAGAGTTTGGGGCCAGAAAACCTATGAGAGGCCGAGAGAGAGACGCTGATCAGAAAAAATGGAGGAGGCTCTGCTCGTGGGCATATAACATAGTTTTTTTGCGACGACAGAAAAGACTATTTGCGACGACTAGTTGTCGCAAATATAACTTAAACTTATTTGCGACGACACTTACATTATTTGCGACGATAAATTGTCACAAATAATGTTATTTTGGCGGCAAACGTTTGCGCCATGCAACATTTGCCGCAACTACATATTTACGATGACAATATTTCCTGTAATGTCGCAAATGGGCGAAATTGTAGTAGTGGTTGTATTAAATTTCTCATATACTATACTTTGTAGTAAATTTCTCACCAAGTATAGTATATGAAAATTTTGACATTTGATTGCTGTTGGTTGAAATATTTAATTTTTCATGTAATCATTACAATTTTTGTATTTTCTAATTATTTTAAAAATAAATGTTTACTTTTATAACTTTCAAAACTTAATAATTATGAAAAAATGTAGATTTAACATTTCAAATAACATTATGCATTGGAATAAAAATGAGGATAACATACCATATTATACTTTTTTTATGTTAGATACATAATTAGCATTGACATTTACATTAGAGATGGTCTAACGTCCTCTTTTTCTATCTAATTTTAATGGAAATTCGAACAAAAAAAATTAAGACTAATTCAAAATTCAATAAAAATCGAGAAACAAACTATGATAACTCTAAAATTCAATGTGTACCAATACAATAAATCTTCCTTATCATAATGATTTGTATTTATTGAGTACTCTCATAAAATACCAGATATAGACATATGCATACAATCCAAACAATCGCAATCTAAAGGAGAAGAAAACAAAAGGAGTACCAAATGAAGGGCCTAACAAGAATAAAAGACATATATAATTCCAAAATCACGCTGTATGAGAGAATTAACTAATAAGCTCCTTCCTCAGTGGAAATACGGACATGAGATTTGACAATGAAGCAATTTTGATAGATAAGCCCACAGAGTCCACCACCAATCAAGGGCCCAACCCAGTAAACCCAGTGATTTGTCCAGTTCCAGCTGATCAAAGCAGGCCCAAATGATCTTGCTGGGTTCATCGAAGCGCCTGTGAAGGCTCCACCCGCTATGGTGTTAGCACCGACCAGAAATCCAGTAAGAGTTGGGCCCAGCCCATCAACAGCTCCCCTATTGGGGTCCACAATAGCACCATAGACCGTGAAAAGCAAGGAGAAAGTAAGGACAATCTCCCATAATACTCCTTGGAAGTGTCCTACCCCACTTCCCAGTGAATGAACTGGAATCCTCTGTCGTCCAAGGAAGCAAAAAACAAAACAAAACAAAATTAAGTTAAAAATTTTACATGCGACGACAAAAGTTATTAAAAGATATTTTTGTAAGCTTATTTGTATTGAATAGTAATAATAGGAATGCAACGGAAAGCTATAATAATTATTATTATTATTTTTTTCGTAATGAGGGATTCATTGAAATTAGTATAATTTCTTCTTCTTTTTTTTTTTTTTTTTTTTGGAATTAGTTTTATTTTTTTTTTTTTTTTTTTTTTTTTTTTTTTTATCAACTCTCTCCCCCTTTTTAGTTCTGTGTTTTTCTAGAATCAAATCTATAAACAAGTTAGATTGATTTGCTTAAGAAATACTTTTTATGGATTTCAATAGTGTTTTTTTATCGTGTGGGGTACTTGTTATATATATATATATATATCACTACTATATAATTTCTTTCTTTTCTTTTTGCTTGTAAGCTTTTCTTAATTAGTGCGGGGTAATACAATAGAATTTTTTTCCAAAAATATAACATAAAAATTTGTGAACTTAACAAATCTTACTGGGACACATGTCCTCAATAAGCTTTTCTTAAATCAATATGTATTTGTATCATTCCATCAAAAAAACAAACGTATTGGTATAAGTGCTTTTCATTACTATATATGTGTATGGCCATCCACATCAACCATAATACTCGACCTTCACAATTTCAATTACTTGCACGACTATCTGCAAGTACTATAAATAATTGACAAAGATATTTAACCTTTTTAATATTTTAAGAACTAATTAAATAAAATTGTTTTTTCCGTTTAGGCTTGAAACGCATGCAATCAACAATCCCCGGACCACAAAGTCACTAGCTAGCTAGATAAGGGAGCTAAATTCATCAGAAGAATTAAAAAAAAAAAACAAAAAAACAAAAAAAAAAAGGTCTTATAAAATGAAAAAAAAAAAAAAAAAAAAAAAAACTATATGATCCTGATAAACATGCTTAATTAACTATATAATAGCAAAATGTAATGAGAAACGGAAAATTATGACTTACTAATCCTCCACTGAGATACTGGACAAGAAAACAAGCTGCGGAAGAGGCCAACAACTGGTCTATCCAATAGAGAAGGGACCGGACGACGGTGATATGTCCGCCGGCGAGGAGGCCGAGAGTGACGGCCGGGTTAAGATGGCCACCAGAAATATGGGCGGCAGGTACCACCGCGGCCACAAAAAGCGCCTGTGTCACTGCCACGGCTATCAACCCCACCATCGCGCCAGCCGCTAGCTTTTCTGATATTGTAGCAAAGCAGAAGTCATAATACACTAACAAGTGCTGCATAAATAATTATATATTATATATATACATATGATTGTTTTTTGTAGTATCTGACATGTGTAAATTCTAGGATTGAAACAAATTAATCACGTAATTAAATTAATGAAAATAATCTTAAATGTGTATAGTTTGGGAATTTTACCGGCGGCGACGGTGGCTGCAACGCTGGCGGAGACGAAGAGAAAGGTGGAGATGAACTCCACCACAAGGGCTCTAATGCAGTCCGGCTGAGTAGCCTCTCCGCTGGTTCCCAATGCTATTTTCGTCATTTTGGAATTACTGGGGGTTAATTTGATCAATAGCCAATTAGGGTTGAAGGGCTTAACGGGACTCACAAAACTGTAGGATAAACGTCAAGTATATTGCACTATACTTCTCTTCAGCACGTCATCGCTGATAATGATTATATATATATATA